TTTTTATGATTCAGATTTGAGAGTAAGAAGTATAGAGCTGCTATGTTTAATTTGATGATTCCATTATAGTTGAATTGTCCTGATTATTGAATCACTCAGTATGGAACATATAAGACATAAATGAATTGTCCTGAATTATTTCCATTTGGTAATGGAACACCTGTGAGGTATTTAAAGAAGTATGCAACCTTTGTTTTTTATTAGAATGATTGAATTAATGTTTCTAAACTTAAATTATTAGTATGTTTATCATTAAGGTTAAGAAAATGGATCCAAACATAACTGAAGAGATTACTGTTTTTTTGTGGTTACTGTTCTTATTACAGACTACAGTCACATAATGAACAAGCATGATTTTGTGTTAATGATTTTTTCCCCCGTTTTAGTTTAAATGATGACAAATAGAGATATGGGTTGGAAATATGCTATTATACTAGATGGGGAGAAAACAATTGAATACAAATTTGGTGATGCCCTCTTTTTTTTTTCTTTTTTTTTTTTAAAAAAAAGTTCATTCTTAAATTCTATTTGTACAATTGTATGTAACAGGTAGAAACAAGGATCCTATTGACATTCATGATGAGACCCATTAATTATAGATTTTGAGTCTTTACTTTGAAGATTATGACTTTGTGTTGTTTGTATGAACTAATATTGAATGTTGTTTTTTAGATTTAATGTCTAAATTTATGGTTTAAGACTATTTTAATTCTTTATTTACTTGTATGGTTAAGTGGTTATATATATTATTATTTTTGGCATTTAAACTGAACTGCTCGAATAGCTTACGCAATGCGCTACGCTATTTACGCTACGCAATTTCAGGACCAAAACGCAACGCGATGCGCTATGCTCGTTTTAAAACACTGGGCAGGATCGACACGTGAATTATAGATTGAGAAATGGGTGCTTCACCAGCTAAGTTCCTGTTCGGATTCCTCTTTGTCTTCATCGTACTATGGATTTCATTCATGTAAGTCATCCTTGATTAGTTCTTACTCTATGTTTTTTTTTTTTTTGGTGTGTGTTAATTTTGTGCACGGTTGTGAATGATGTATGTGATCACGCTGAATTAAGTGAACGTGTCTATGAATCACACAAGTAGATGTGGTTTCCCCCTCGCATTTGACATTATTTGTTCTGTTTGGAAAGGAGAAATTTGAGAAATGTTTAGGCATAAAAAATGTGGGCTCTTCAGTTTTGTTCTTAATCCATACCTTTGAAGTCGTTTAAAATATTTTATGTTACTTTCTTAATACTGCACTATTAGATGTAATTAGATGTACTAGCTCTAGTTTATTGTACTTCTCTTACACTTATTCCTAGTGGTACCAGCTCTTGTTTATTGTTCCACTCTCAACACTTATTCATCGTGTTGAAGGGCATTAGTGTCAGATGCAATTGATGTTTATGGAGAAGGAAGAATGAACTTGATGTTTGCCGTGCTTTGAGTGTCATTTTCTTGTGCCCTACTTTCTTCTTGGGGTCATTATTTTATGACTTTACCTAAATAAAGTAAGCTGTGTCTGAAACTAGATTTTTATATGAAGCAAAATTTGTTTAGTATGAGGAGTTCCGCTATCCCAGCTCCATAGTGTCTTAATAAACAGAAGAAGGTGTAAGACTGCTGTTGGATATTATTTCATTTTGACTTCCTTCAACCAGTGGATAGTGATATACGGTTGAAAATGTGGGGTAGTTAGAAATACGTTAGTTGGTGATAATGACTTTTGTAGTGAAATATATGGTAATGATTGATTTTATTTAAAATTTTGTATAAAATTGAGGAGGAAAAAGTGAGAAGGAATATATATCTTATTTTTATTTCTTTACATTTTTGTGTCCAAACACAATTTTTGAGAAAGCCCGACTCAGCTTAACGCAAGGGCTCGTTGCAGACCTCCATTAGGGCGTAAAGCAAATGTATTTTGTTGATGATGTTTATTTGTTTTGTATCCAATTTCCTGTGTACACCATGTGAAGGTGGGCAAATGGATCATTGGGATGAAAAATGTTGTCTAGCCGTAAATCAATCTTAATGGTTTTAAGTAACTCCTGCAGTTAGGTTACATCGAAAAATCATTTGATATTGAATAGTGTGGAAGTATAAAGCACACAAGATTCATGAGGAATTAATCACTGAACAATAACTTATGAATACTTCTTTACAGGGAGAAAGGTTGCTTGTGTATAATTTTTATATTTGCCTACTACAAGAGAGGAATGCTATTTGAATTACTGACAATTGTAATTTGTACCTCCTGAAGAAGGAAAGAAGCTCATATGTTTCTTGAGAAGAATTTACCATTTTATTTTTATTTTTTTTCTTGATGGTCGGCTTTTGATTGTTTATTCTTTTCTTCTATTTGGTGGTGGGTTTTGGTGGGAGCAGAACCGTTAGATAAATAAATGTAATCCATTTGCCAGACTAAAGACTTATATTGACTCCCTTGATTAAGAAGCTGCAAAGCCTAATATTAAATATTCCTTCCATCTATAGAAAAGCTGTGATGAAGTTTCGTTTATATAGGGATTTGGAAAACATACTTATAATTGGTTTATAATTGGTTTCTACTGACTACCTCCATATCCCTATAAGTCGCTGATTATACTTCGGATTTAATCTAAGGCGTTGAGCTGATTGGGGGGACATTTGAGAACCTTCTGATGCCTGATTTGTTAAATAACCTTAACTCATGACTGGAAACCCTTGAATACAAATGAGTCTTATTGATCTCTTGTTAATAAAGACATTGATACTTTTTAAAATCTTTGTAACGTTTTAACAGTACTTTCTCAAAATGTATGGTTATGTGAATGCTTTTCCCTTTTCAGATTCAACTTGATCTACTGCCATACATCCTTGTACTTGGGAGCTCATGAACCCAATTACATAAAAATTTAATCTGAGCTAGTAGAATGCAGTATACTTTACTAACATTACACGGCTGATTATTTAAAAGGCCAATTATTTAATTCTGATTAGTAATCATTTAAGGTAAAGCTGGATTTGATTTTCTTCATTGTGGCATACGACCTGTACTATAGTGCATGCTTTATCATTCTTTTTTATATGTTTGTGTATGTTAAAATTATGTCCATTGCAAATGGAGCTGAAGAGTCACTGTTGACAATTCTTCCTGACATAGTGCTAATAATGGACTAGATTAAAATGACTCAATTAAATTCTAGTTTTTCTTCTATTAGTGAAGTTTTTAGAAAAAAAAAATATATCAAACGACGCAATGCACCTTGGGTCGCTACAGAAACAACCTTGTATAATTACAAGGGTAAGGTCTGCGTACAACTGACCCCCCAGACCCCAACCTGTTGGGAATATACTGGGTATGTTGTTGTTGTCGTGTATGTTAAGATTGCTTCATTTATTCTGTTGTTTATTTCTCTACATTATTTAAGTTCTGATTACTAATCATTTGAGGCAAAGCTGGTGATTTGATTTTCTTCATTGCGGCACACGAGCTGTACTATAGTGCATGCTTCATCATGCTTTTTTATATGGTTGTGTATGTTAAGATTGCTTCATTTATTCTGTTATTTATTTCTCTACGTAATGGACTAAGTTATTCTTAGTGTACATTTCTATTATCATTTATTATTTATGAGATCTGTTACTTGTTTCATGGTATTGTGCTTACTATTTGAATCCCCATGAAGTATGGATTGATCTTTATCCGTAATTAACCTTGTTTCAGGTTTACTTCCCGGTTACTGGCCTGGATCCTCAGTCGAGTTATGGGAGCATCAATTGGATTTAGAGTTGGTGGATGGAAATGCTTGAGGGACATATATCTGAAATTCAACAAGGTGTTAATCGATTGAGCACTTAATATATTATGAATAATATCTCACTATTGCTATGAAAAACTTCCTTATATAATGATTTTTTTTTTAGAATAAAGTACTTTTGTCTGACCTTGATACTTCTTCAAATGAATGGGGGTAGGTATATGACTATGACAAAGGATTATCCTAGATTTCATATCGATCATCTATTGAAGGAATTGTTTCATTTAGATTTTCCATATGTGTGCTTTCTTCCTTGTGGGTTATTTCAAAAATTACGTAAAAATGTGCATAAAAGCATTTTCATGTTATTGGATAATATTTGTACTCCATATAAAGTACCATGTGCAAATATTCTCCAAACTCATAAAGAAGTATATATATCTCTTGATGAGTTGCAAACATAATACTTTTAATTGAAGAATTGTTTATATGTGGTTTTAGGATTTCCATGTGGATTAGGGAAGTCATATAATGATGTATTATATTCACACTGACCGTATTTACATTATTAAATTTCATCAAATAGTGCTACAATTATAATCTCATTTAGAAGTTGCAATTAGTTTCCTTGTTTCCCAATTAGTTTCCTCTCCCCTTGGCTCGAAAGTTTTGACAATTAATGAACATTTCGTGCTTTCATTAAGCATGCCATTAATATCAAGGCCAGGGGTGTGTCAAAGTGAAAAAAAAAAAATAAATTAAAAACTAATCCTCGTTGGCGCTTACAAAGTAACATGTTGAATGACACAAATTTCATTTTGAAAAGTGATAGATAGAATGAAAGAATGGATATTGCTTTTGCAATTAATATTGAAAAGAATTGTTTGGTATATGATGTTATATGTTCTCGTTATGTATTTAGTATTTTACACTTTCAATGAACTATTTGTTCGTTTTGAATAAGGAAAATGATACTTTTTAACAAATTGTAATTATGTTGTTATTTTTAATTACAAATAGTAACTTATATATTACTTATAATTAAAACTTAAAACTAAATTATTTATAAGTAGAACTTAAACTAAATGATAAACGGTGTAAAATATGCATAAAAGTCAAGTAGAGAAGATAGTATTTTCATGATTTGGATTTTCATAAAATTTTAATTATCCAATCCACACGATTTCAATATCTTAGCTGAAACTGCAGAAGTAGATAACTTGATATTTAGTCACACTTTATTCAAATTTGAACACACAAATGCATATAAACTGTTGTATATGTATTCATTTTAATGCACATCTAAATCTCTAATTAAGTGAACAGATTTATATTTTGATTGAAGAGAAATCCATTCATGTTATCCCTAATTCCATTCAAATTGAATTATGGCATTTGGTGGAATACAATGGTAGGCATCCTATTATCTGACCGTACTTGGCTAGGGGTTGTTCGCATGGGTTACACCTTTCGTAATCTATACTGTTCTTTATTGTTCACATTTAAGCTCAAATAGCTATTGGTACTTGCTTTATGTTGGGTACAAGCTTTTAATTGTTGTATTTTTAATTTCAGAATTTGGAGATAGTATAGTGTCCTGATTTGAAAATAAAAAAATAAAAAAATAGAATTATACCATGGATCAGTTTTCTTCTTACTTTTCTTTATATGTTTTAATTTTTGTACTCTACTTCAGTTAGTTGTGCACTCATTTTGCATGAATTTCCATTTCTTTGGGACCATTTGCAAGCTTCTAAGAGTTGTTTAGCTACATATTGATCTGGGACATCTGAACATGAATAAATTAATCTATTTTCTTTATATTCGAAGTGTAGTTCAATTTTCTAGAATGATATAAAATATTTTTCTAATGACTAATGAGGCATCATCCCTTTTAAAAACATATCAAGATGTGAAACTAGCCTCAATAGGCATATTTACTTCTGGAAATTTTCCATACCTACTTATTTGTGGAAGAAATAATTCTGGAAAACATGAAAACTGGAAAATAATTTACTCTTCCAAATACAACTACTTTAATATTTTGTAATCAACTGGATTTCACATGTTGATAGTTTTTAATGCATGAATAGACTTATCTCTAGTTACTGCATCGGCTGGTTTCTCTGATATTGGTGATCAACCTTTTGCCTGTATTCCTTTTATTTTCTTGACTTAAACCGTAAATAATCATAATATTTGTGTTGAGCAGCATTTTTGAGAATGGGACATATGGAAGTATGATACCTTCTTTTTTGCTATCAAGTGTCCAATATTTGTGGAGAAATCTAATTGGGTATCATTGGGTCTATTACGTGGATTGGTCCACAATAAAACTAAATTGTCAGCGTGGTCTATTCAGATCAAGTGTAACTCACCTCATGGATCTCCCATAAACATGTGAAGATATAAGAAATAGAACAACATCTTTGCTATTTGCATTTTGAAACTTGAAAATGATCATCTTGATAAAAGGCATTGTGGTTACTTTCTGATTTGTGTTTTGAACCGAACTTTGTGCACAACATTACATTGCTGAACTTGTATTTGGCAATTTTTTTTATGCACAGGGTCCTATTGAATCCATATCTGTTGGTGAAGTCAGATTAAGTTTACGGCAGTCCTTGATCAAGATTGGGGTTGGCTTCATTTCTAGGGACCCAAAACTACAGGTGGTAATATGCGATTTGGAAGTTGTAATGAGATCTTCAACAAAAACTACTAAGAAAACCAGATCTAAAAAATCTCGCAGCCCTGGTAGAGGAAAGTGGATGGTCTTGGCTAACATGGCTAGGTTTTTGTCAGTTTCTGTGACTGACTTGTCATTGAAGGTAAGAATATCTACTAGTCTTCTCAGCATTCACGCTTCTGTTCGGTCATGCTGTCATATTTCTGCTACCATTTTTGCCTTTTCAGTGTTTATCGCCAAAAATGTGGACCAATAAAGCCATGACTAGATTATTGAAATGTGATTACAAGTAGTAAAATGATGATAATGCTTATCTTTACATTTTTGATGCATTCTGAACCTATATGTTCCAAGCGATGCATATATTCATGTTATAACTCCATATGTCATCAGTGAAGAAGTCTCCGGATCATTCTATACGTTTTTCTGTTGTATAATTTTCAATCTGGTTATTCACTTTTTTGTTTATAGTATCACTCATGAATGCAGTAATGGGTTGCATACGTTAAATTTGTCTATATATCATATGTTAATATCATATTCTACACTTGATACTGTAACTGCAGAATCCAAAAGCTACTTTGGATATTAAAGAACTGAGGGTAGACATATCTAAAGATGGTGGTTCTGAGGCGGAGTTGTTTGTGAAGTTGCAGCTTTTTCCTATCAATGTTCACCTTGGAGAACCGCACTTGACATCTGGTGGATCTTCCTCTGGTTGTCAGTTGATAGATGGGGTTTGTCCTCCTTTCAGCTGTGAAGAATTCTCACTCTTGTGTGAGATTGGACATAATAGGTAGGTTGTGTTTGTTTGTGGTTTGGTTTTTCTTTTTGTCTCAACTTTGATGGGTTTGTGGATGTAACGGCTGGAAGTCTTGATTGACATGTTTCCTTTGGGAGCTTGTATGGATATGAAACTTCAGAGATGGAAGAATATTTTTCTTTATATTCATTTCCTACAGGTCAATAGTTTGTCTAGATTGTACTGGATTTAGAGTAATATGCCATTCTGCCGTTGAACGTTGCACATTGCATTCTCTGGAATTAGAGACACTGATAAGATAAAGTGATTTTTTGCAAATTTATGTCAGTAACATATGTGAAATCAAGAACAGTAAACAGTTGGATTGAAAGTTGGTTTAAATAAGTAGAAAGTGGTTCCTCATGTGTATTTGGTAGCTTGTGTGTTTGAGCTCTAATGTGGTTTGTGCTTGGCTAGAAGAATCATCCTAGACCACATGAAACAAACTGAAATTGTATGTTTGATTCAGTATGCTCAGCATAATTAAGTGAATACAAGTGCTATGCTTTCATTTCAACGTGTTGAAGTTTTATTCGTTTTCTTAAAATGTTCGTGCAAATGAAACGTTATTACATAGGCTATAGGAGGTACATTTGTTTTTTTATCTTCTATAGAAGACAGTATACTTTGTTTAGAGGAAACTTTTTGGGAACTAGTATGAAGGAAAGAAGAGAAAGGAATGTGGGTTTGTATGCTAACTGTTTTTTTTACTGTTGGCGCAGGGAAACAGGTGTAGTTGTCAGGGACTTGGATATTACATGTGGACAAGTTTCTGTTAACTTAAATGAGGAACTTCTGCTTAAGAAAAAGGATCTGCGTGACAAATCTTCTCAGCCTGCCTCAGGAGTTGTACAGGCGGTGGACAAAGAATCCGTCTCTGCTAAAAAACCGCAGGGAGAAAAAGCATTATCTGCTGTATCTATGTTACCGGAAAAGGTTGACTTGATTTGAACTGGTTCAACATTACTTTTTCTGTTTATTAGGTCATTGCAATTGTTCCCACTATCTTGTAAGTTGTACACACATACACACACAAACATACATATTGCCTATGTGTCGGGTTAACCGTCTATTTATGTAAGGTGATAATATTAACCAACTAGGAACAAGGGTTGCTAATACACGTAGACGTTATTGATTATAATTATATTACTGTGGAAGAATGCCCTTCCAGGAGTACTGTTAGAGATCGATTTTTATTTCATTTAATTCAATGCATATGCATTGAATTAACATATACTGGGTATGTTAATTCAATGCATAGGCTTTTGGGCCCATTTGCTTAGAATATTCACTAGGGTTATATTTAGTGTTGGGATTCAATTTAAGTAGAGTATCAAATAGGAGTCTAATTAAGTAGACTACCATTTGATACTAAGGATTATCATTTGTTGAACTGTGATTGTGAGCCTTAGGTTTAGGTGGGGAAGCTTCTCTTCCCAATTCGGCTTTTGCTCTTGGGATAGGAAACTCCTGTTTGTTTATTTTTTTTAGTTTAATTAAATATATCTCAATTTATTTCTTTCCAAACAATTCACTATATCAAGTAACAGTGAGGATAATTTCAATTAGATTGGACCTGCATATGAATATGTAGCTGTATGTAACTATAGGGCAAGAGTACAGGAAACCTTGGCAGCTATCCAACTTACTCAAGTATATTATGTTGGGGCTAGAATGCAAGAGCCAATGTAATATATGCAACTCCAGAATTATGTTGGGCCAAAACTTGACGTTGGCTCGGGATTTTAGTGGTTTATCCCTGATTTATTATTGGATCGTCGCCTTTGTTGAGAGGAAGTAGGTTCAGGGAACTGAAAAATATGTATTTGTCACACGTATGCTTGTCAATTAAGCTTTTGTGCTTCTGTTCATTGGCTGAGTGGGTTAAAGTTTATGGGTTTTCGCACTGATTCATACACCATGGAATCTCTTTATTTTATTTTTTGTATCACAACAATGATGTATAGTTGATTTCACCTTCTGGTTTAACCATCGCAATATATATGATATATCTGCATGTAAACTCTATTTATTAATGCATCATGTTAACTCTTTTTTTTTATTTATTTTTGTATAACAATAATGATGTATAGTTGCTTTCACCTTCTGGTTTAACCATCACAATATATATCTACATTGTCCTTGCTTTTTGTTTAATCGTTCGGGATGGAGTGGAGGGAAATGAATAATAAGAACCAAATAACCATTACATACAGGGTTAAACCCTGGTTGATGCCCTTTCAAAGGATGATTGATACTACTTGAACTACATGCTTGTGGTTATTCTCCTAACGGCATCCCATGAATTCTTTAGCTTTCCATTTATTATTTTACCTATTTTCGTTGAGTTATACATTATTTATAGCTGATTTTTTATGGCTGATTTTAATTCAATAGGCCGCCTTCACTCTACCTAACCTTGATGTAAAGTTTGTGCATCGGAGTTATGGACTTATTATCGACAATAATATTATGGGAATCCAACTGAAATGCATGAAATCTTGTTCTATAGAAGATGTGGGAGAAAGTGTAAAACTTGATGTCCAGATGGAATTTAGTGAGATTCATGTAAGATTATACTAACCAAACTTCAATTTGTGACTGAAGCATTACTTCATTTCTATTTTACTAATGTGCTCTACCTGTTGTAGCTCCTTAGAGAAACTGGCATCCCTGCCGTGGAAATATTGAAACTTGATGTTGTGTCGTCCATTTACATACCACTGCAGGTATACTTTACTTACAGATACGTTGAGCGCATTTTTTTTTTTTTTTTTTGTTACACTACCTTAATACCAGATAATAGCGCTCAATATTGGTTAGAATTGAGTAGAATGAGGATAACTTAAACCAAGGGTCAATTGTTTTGGAGTAAAATATTCATATTCGAGTCTTTCGTGTACTGAGATCTGATCAACCGGTAGAATTCTACTTTCATAACTATAAATTACTCCATCCCATGAAATAAATAAGATATAAGCTTTATAGAAACGATGGAAACCTATGACGAGACAAAATATCACATTATGTCTTGGTTGACATTTATGTTCAATTCCTCTTGATATTCAGTCAAGTCGAAGTTTTACTTGGATTTCTTTGATTTGCAGCCTAGCTTCCCTATCAGATCCGAAGTTGATGTTAAGCTTGGAGGTACACAGTGCAACTTACTATTGAACAGGTTAGAATCATGGGCTCGCCTTCGCCATCCGCAGAAGCCAAAACAAGGATTTTCAGAAGATAGTCATTCCAAACTGCAATCACATTTAACTGAACAGAAACCAATCATGTGGACATGCACTGTTTCTGCCCCAGAGATGACTGTTGTGCTTTTTAGCTTGACTGGCTCACCACTATACCATGTAAGGAGACGTTCGATATTGATTTTCTTGTGTTGTGTTAAAAGCTCAACCCCCGTTATATTCTATGGCATATGAATGATTAATGCAAGTTGTAGTCAGGAATAACATAATTGTCAGACATTCTGTGTTGGTTTGGTTGTAGGAAATTTTCGTCATTGGTTATCAGTGTTACCAAATGGCGGCTAGGACGGTATGGCGTGGCGGATTTTCGACAATCTGCCATGCGAAATTTGAAGGATGGCAGTCATGGTGGAATTTTGGCAAACCGCCATGTACAGCCATCATCCATTAATAACATTGCTGGTTATGTAATGACACATCTGTTCTGGTTGTTTCCTTTTTGTGTGCTTATGCTTGATGTCTGAATCATTAATCACCCTTCTGGGCACTAAGCTGGCCGTAGGTAGAAATATGATTTTCTATGACTGACACAGTTAATTTCAGTTACATTTAAAAGACCAGCAGCCCCCTAATTGGATACAAAACCTTATCCTTTCCATTACCCCTGGTAAACTCAGCTTCTAGTCACCCATGCAATTGCTTCTACACGTATCTTCTTTCCCTCTTTCAGCCGATTCTTTTCCTCTCCTCTCTTTCTACCAACTCACTCCTCTATCTCTTACACATGCACACACATAGATGCGGAGTACTGCCCACGAGGCTCCAACAAACGGATTTACCTTGTAGGATAAAAAACCGAAGGCTCCTGCAGAGAATTGGACACAGGATACTTCCATGGAGATCAACCAAGTTGCTCTGGTGCATCTTACACTTTCTAATATAATACTAACCTAGATACAAAAAACAAATCTTCTAAGAAATGCACATATATATTTACATACTGTGTTTAATTATAATTTAATTCTGGTGGATTTTCTAATCCATATGCATGTCACCTTTTTGGACTGTACGGACACAAGAAGTTGGCTTCGTACCAACATATTTGCTTAAATTAACCCACTTTTAACATATATTCATTATTTTTTGTGGTCATACTTTCATTACTTGTGTCTTCAACTCCCTAGGATCAATCAGTTTTCTTTAATGAATGTGGACAGATGGCCTGACATTGCCTTGATTTTTGACTTCATAATATGCCTTTTTCATGAATGTGGGGACACCCTACTGTTTGTCTTACCTTGACTGCATTTTCTATTAGCGAACTATTAAATAATTGGGAGTACGTCGCTATAAGTACTTTTTGTTTTCTGAAAAATCCCACAAGCAGCACAGCTTTATACTAAATATGTTGAGGCAAAAGTTGATACTTTTTAGGATAGATTTATTCTTGCTTATGCATTACTTTGCTCTTCTGAGTCTGCAACTCTGTCATAATTACTCTATCATTAAACTACAGGGTTGTTCACAATCATCACACATTTTTGCCAACAACATATCTGGTACGGGCACAACACTGCATTTGGAACTTGGTGAACTTAACTTGCACATGTCTGATGAATATCAAGAATGCCTGAAAGAGAGCTTGTTTGGTGTGGAAACAAATACTGGGTCATTAATGCACATTGCTAAGGTCAGCCTGGACTTGGGGAAAAAAGATATGGATCCACTCGAAGATGGTTTGAAGTCTAAGATGGTTCTTGGTGCTGATGTAACTGGTATGGGTGTGTACTTGACCTACAGGCGTCTTGAATCACTGGTATCAACTGCTCTATCCGTCAAGGCCTTAGGGAAAAAATTATCTGCTTCGAACAAGAAACCAGCACAAAGCAAAGGAATGCGGTCGTCCAGACAATCAGGCAAGGGGATTCAACATTTGAATCTCAATCTTGAAAGGTGTTCTGTCAATGTCTGTGGAGATGTGGGCTTGGAGGACATAGTTGTTCCGGATCCCAAACGTGTTAATTATGGATCCCAAGGTGGTAGAGTTTTAATTACTAACTCAGCAGATGGGACCTCACGCACTGCTCACATTACGTCCACAGTCTCAAATGAAGCCAAAAAGATGAAATATACTGTATCTCTTGACATTTACCACTTCAATCTTTGCATGAACAAGGAGAGAAAATCTATGCAGATAGATCTTGAAAGAGCTAGATCTATTTATCAGGAGTTCCCTGAAGACAGTAATGCCGGAGCAAAAGTTGATCTGCTGGACATGCAGAACGCAAAGCTTATTAGACGATCTGGAGGTACAAAGGAAATAGAGGTCTGCTGTCTCTTCAGTACAACAGATATATCGCTAAGATGGGAGCCTGATGTGCATATTGCTTTATTTGAACTAGGGTTGCACTTGAAGTGTCTAACTCATAATCACAAGCCCCAGGGACAAAATGATGGCGAGAAAATTGAAGATCGGGAGGTTACAAAAGAGACCTCTTTGGAATCTGTGAAGATTGAAAAACCAGTTAAGAAAAGACAATCCATATTTGCTGTTGATGTGGAGATGCTTACTATATCTGCTGAGGTTGGAGATGGTGTTGAAACCTTAATCCAGGTCCAATCCATCTTTTCTGAGAATGCTCGAATTGGCGTGCTTGTTGAGGGGCTTATGCTTCAATTCAATAAAACTAGAATTTTTCGAAGCAGCAGGATGCAAATATCTCGAGTCCCGAATGTCTCTGGAAGTTTATCTGATGTAAAATCTGAAAACGTGACTACCTGGGATTGGGTAATTCATGCTATTGACGTTCATATATGCATGCCATTTAGGTTGGAGTTGCGTGCCATTGATGACGCTGTGGAAGAAATGCTGCGAGTGTTGAAGCTCGTGACTTCTGCTAAGACTACAAGTATATCTTCTTTGAAAAAAGAGCCATCAAAACCCCCCAAAAAGTCTAGTTCAACAAGAACTGGATGCATAAGGTTTGGCATACGTAAACTAACTGCTGATATTGAGGAAGAACCAATTCAGGGTTGGCTGGATGAGCATCACAAACTTTTGAAGAATGAGGCTCGTGAGTTAGCTGTTAGGTTAGATTTTCTTGAAGAACTTATTTCTAGGAGCAGCCAAGGTCATAGTGTTGGTGAATCAAATGATTCAGTGGACGGAAAGGTTCAGTATAATGGAGAGGAGTTAAATTTTGAAGATGTTTCTGCTATTCAGAAATTGCGTGAGGAAATATACAAAAAGGCATTTGGATCATATTACAAGGCATGCCAGGGTCTTGTTCCATCAGAAGGATCAGGGGCCTGTAAAGATGGCTTTCAAGCTGGTTTCAAGCCTAGCACAGCTAGAACTTCA